ACTCTAGCTTGTTTCTGTTTGGAGAAAAATGATGTGTTGCAACCGTCCCTTGTTGCTACTGTCCCCGGTCTCCCATGTCCTCTGCATCCTCTGTCCTCACTCATTCTACCTCCATGACCTCTAACTGCATCTATAAATCTGCTCTATGTCTTTTTCCTGGCATCTTAACATCCTGTTCTCTGCTCATAAACCGTCTCAGCCTGGCCTCTAACTTTATTTCACAGTGGGTCAACCTGTGCTGATGATCACTCCTGTTTTTATTTTTATTTTATTTTTTTGCCACTGTCTCCAAACCATACAACTCTCTACTCTCTTTCCTTTGACKTTTGCTGCCATCCTTTTTGTTACTTRTCTGCATCCTGCCTGAATTGTCTTCTTCAACTCTTCTTTGTTTGGGTACCTGTGATCCCTGCCCCTTGTATCCTTACTTTTCCCGAGCACAAGATAACTTTAGCATTCATTCCTTCAAAATAAATACCCACCAAATRATATATATTTTCCAATAAATACCTCTTTATGTTATGACAACAAATTGCAACATTTGTCTTCTAAGGACGGATGGCGTGTGGCAGTTGCAGCTCTGTTGTCAAACTCTTTTATTTGCACCTGCAGTAAAAAAAAAAAAAAAGCAGAATGGTACAAATCGTCAGCAGGAGAGCAAGAGATGAAGAAAGAAGAAAAGCAGTCATTTTGTAAAGCACAGCTGCTGTGGGGGAGGCGAGCACCTCATTCTCAGACTCACTCAGTCACACCTCCACACTCCAACAAGCGGATGTGTTTCAGTCTCTTTTTTTTATTCTCTCAATTTCTGACTTCCCCCCATCTAAACTCGCCAAGCAAGRGACTCTGAAGGTTGTAGGAGAGTATTTTGGCTCTCCTTGTTCTAATTAYCTCAAGTTTTCACTGTAAAAGTTTTATAGTTCAGCGGCAGCCTGTAATGGTGGGTGAACAAGTGGTTTTTTAGAGTTTAAAGTTTTCAGTTGGGTGAAGTTTCTCTCAGATGGCAGCCAACATCCGCTTCATGAAGACTGAGCCAACAGACAAAGGTAGGCCCAAACATCTTTTGCCCTTTTTATTCAGAAATATTTTATGTAATTGTCTTGATGTAATATTGTGTCTTCATGAGCATTTATAGTATGTTTTCTCTTCATTTCTTTAATCCACAACCAACTAATTTATAACAGTTCCCCTTTGTTAAGGAAAATACATGTTTTAATTTAAACCTAATCATTTTCTTTTAACAATWTCAAGCTGTTGTTTCTCCTTGTGAGATCAATGAGTTGAAGAGTGGAAAACCTTCTGATTAATGTGTCCTGTGATGGTTTGGTCTTTCCATCCAGATGACACGGCAGGTGGTTTTTAGGTTAATCCTCTGCCTGCTTTTTACGTAAACACCCAAATCAGTTTGCTGCAGCACAGAAATCACAAGAGACGACCTGAAAATGGTTTATAATCATGAAAATATCCAGTCAGCGTCTGTTTCTGTCAAAGCTGAAGCGCCACGGTCTGTGCTCGGTGGTGAGATCTGACTGAACTGCAGAATTGAGATATTTCTTTTTATATATGGAAGAGACAAAACCAAATAAATGCAGATGACAATGCTGTATGTGTTATTGATGAGCACCTGTTTAAAGATCAAGCTGTCAATTCTAGGTCACACCCAAACATACATATCTTTACTTCCGTATTTAAATCACTACATTGTGACAGATTAGTGTTTTATACCCAGAAGGCCTGCTGCTSTTATTTCACATGATGATTTGTAACAAATTCGATAGATGTCTGTGAAAATTTCTATTAAAAACTATAAAATATCCCTGTTTTTTTATCATCATTGATAGATTGTTTTACGCTGCTAACGTCTTGTCTTCTCTCCTGCCCTGATCAGGGGCAAAAATGTAAATCTCGAATGGGCATAACGAAGATGACGAAGGAGAAGTGCGTGACCTTGACCTCGGCGCTGCAGAGACCGGGCCGAAGTGAGGCGAGCCAAGATGGCCTGAAAGAGTGAGAGGTTTACGTGAAGCTCGTCTGCTGGAGAGGTGCTGACTCTACGTGCCGACTGTAGGAGAAACCTTTTGAGGAAACGCGTCATTGTTCAGTTCAATTAACTGAGCTGGTTCTGCAGAAGAGTGTTTATAGACATGGAGTTTCCACACAGCGGGTCTAAGTGTTGCCTSTGGTGAAGCTGACATTAGTCAATGACAGTAAACCCACTGGAGAACCTTGTATCTGACTGAACTGGTAGGAAAAAGTTGATCTTTGACTTTTTACCAAGAACCCCAGCAAACATGAACGACATGGCAGAGTTGTCGGTGAAGTGCGTCCTGGTCGGGGACAGCGCCGTTGGTAAGACGGCCCTGCTGGTCCGCTTCACCTCAGAGACCTTCCCGGACTCTTACAAACCAACGGTGTTCGACAACACGGGTGTGGAGGTCTACATGGACGGGGTCCAGATCAGCCTCGGGCTGTGGGACACGGCGGGCAATGACAACTTCAAGCAGATCCGACCCAGGTCGTACCAGCAGGCCGACGTCGTCCTCATGTGCTACTCCGTGGCCAACCCCAACTCTCTAGCCAGCATCCAACGCAGGTGGATCGCCGAGGTGCGGGAATACCTGCCCAAGGTGCCGGTGCTGGTTGTGGCCACGCAGACGGACCTGAGGGAGGTGGGGGTTCACCGGGGCAGCTGCATCTCCCCGGCTGAGGGGAAACGCGTGGCCCACGAGGTGCACGCTAAGGGCTACCTGGAGTGCTCGTCCCTGGGTAACCGAGGCGTGCAGCAGGTGTTCGAGCACGCCGTGCGGACGGTTTTTAACAAATACAAGAAACGAGAGAGGAGACGCTTGTTCAGCATCAACCAGTGCAAAATCTTTTGACCACTGACTTTGATTTGGTTTCCTCAGAAGTCTTTTGAGACTTGTGCTCTTCAAACTCAGACAAACAAGGATGGGGGGACATAATGAGGGGTTTCTTTGGTAACTGCAAGGTTGTTTTCTGCAAACCTCTCGCACCCCTACTTCAAACTCAAGTGTTTCAAACTGAAAAAACACCAGTGTTGTATAAAGTACCACAAAGTCATACTTAGTAAAAGTAAAAGTATCTTACCAAAAAATACTTTGGTAAAAATTAAAGTCTCCTTTAGGAATATTACTTGAGGAAAAGTATTTAAGTATCTGATATATTTTGTACTTAAGTATTAAAGTAAAAGTATTGATTTAAAATGAGCAGTTAGATTTTCTGTAATGACATTTATTAGGAGGTGACCTCCCCAAAAACTGCAGAAATGAATATTGCATTAAAATAAATAATTTATGTTAAATTTAGGATGCACTAGTCCAGCTGTTTCAGTTTATTTACATATATCAAGTGTGCACAAAACTTTTCTCCAAAATAAAAATCTATCTGAGGGCTGTGGCCAAATACTAAATGCAAAGTACAGTCCTTTTATTTTAATGATTATGTCCTGCTGGAGTGTGACATGATTTGTTTGTGTACAAATCATGACAGTACCAGAATTCTATATTCTTATACTTCTTATTCAACCACAATTAAATTCACTATCTAGAAGTCYCAATTTATKWGGARAGTWTTTATTTTTTACAATAAGCTAGAATGAAAACAAGCAAAAATGAAATAAAAGTAARYACTTTCTACTTTTTGCCTMTTTWAAAAATGTAAGGAGTAGAAAGTACAGATAATTGTCTGAAAATGTGAGAAGTAGAAGTAAAAAGTAGGCTGAAAAATAATTACTCAAAGTACAGATACCCAAAAATTCTACTTGAGTACAGTAACAAAGTATACGTATTTAGTTACTTTACAACTCTGAAAAACACTGATAGAAAAATAAACCTAATGGACYGACAAAGGTAGACATTCTGATACAGGAATAAAAGCTTAAACGTGTTTAAAATTAAAGTATTTCAAATCAGGACGGAGGAGTTGTGTGAAACCCTTTAAGCTTTAGGCAGAAGAGCTGATATAAAGTGTCTGTTCTGGTGTGGATCAACAGCTTTAAACATCCAAAACAAAACCTTTTTTTTTTATAGAACCTTAGTTAAATTTACACATTTCTCTAAGTCAAAAGATTAATTTCAAGTTCCTTCAGTTTTTAATACATTTGAACCACTGGGTGTCTATGATTTAAAACAACAGCGTAAAACTTAAAAATGTTTAATTTTTGTTTTGTTTCAACAGCCCATGTAAACAGGATATCTACTTATTTTTTTGAAAATATTTTAGATCATAAATAAAGTTCTTACAGGTCTTTTGTTTCACAAAAACTTGTTAAATTGTACATGTTTAATCAAAAATAGAGAAATAAATGCAGATATGATTTGGTATAACTTAACTGGGACTAAAATGACCCATCAGGCCTCGGCTTGTTTTGACCCAAGGGCAGCCGGTGGGTTGAAATATTCATAAAACTGATTTAAAGGTTCTTGTTTGTACAGTTTTCCTTGTCGTGGACAACTTTAATACTAAAATTTGAAATAAAAAATTCTACTAAAAACATTTATTTATGAGTGAATCATAAAATAAATAGTTTATTTTATTGTGTTGAATTTAAACGTGTTTGTGGATTATCCACACTGATTATCATCTGTATCGGTTCTGGATGAAGTCTTCATGAATTAAACACTTCAAGACAATTAATTTATCTGCATATAAACACTTGGTTTGATATGGTTTTTACCATAATTATCAAACTGTTGTAGTGTATGTTTTTGGATTYTGCCATGTTTATTTTACGTTCCCCAGGTTTTAATTGGAGTTATTTAGATGTGTAAATAAAATCGATGTCAAATTTTCAATGTTTTTCCTAAAAAACTGAAAATTTTTATGGTCTTCATTGATATTTGAGGATTTTTTCTTCTCCAATCAAACATAAAATTGGGAATAAATTTGACTTGGTTTGGATATTTATTTAATTTTGGGATAATCAGGTGAATAACTGCTCGACATATCTATAAAGTATTCATGTAGTCACAACTGTACGCTCAAAAAGTGTGCCACTCAATTGATTTGAGTAAATATAAGGAGATTGACTGTGTTCATTGTGTGAATCTTGTTACATTTACTAAACTTGGTTGAGTGGAACCACTTGATATAACAAATCGTTTTTTGAGTGTAAATGGTTTGGCCTTAAGGAAGAACCTGCAGGATGGAGAGCAGCTTATATAAACTAGGATTTAAAACGAGGAACTAAGACGAGGCGATGCAGCTCATATAAACAGGATTTTATGTATTACTCCATCTGTTTTTCTTCATTTACAGAAAATAAATTCAGCTTCAGAGCTGTTCAGGACTTCAAGCCTTTTTAGACAAATTGTGACTTTAAAATAAATTTTAACAGTATAAATAGTTTGAACACAGTCTGTTTTAAACTAACACTTATGTCTGAGATGTGTAAGAAAGTGTATGAGGATAAAAATTTGTCCAAATATGATTCCGTATTAAATGTTTCTGGCTAATTTTAAAGAACTTGTAAAAGAAAAGAAGAGAAATAAGCTCGAAGAAGCTGTTCCTCCCCCCTCGTTGTTTTCTCCCGCTCTTTCTCGGCGTGGTTCAGTCTCGTGGTGTTCAGGGGTGCTCAGGATGAGAGGCATGAAGAAGACTTTTCAAGGATATGCTAACCACATCCCAGTCCACACACACGCTCAGACACACGCGCTACATTTTACAAACTTTTTGAAACACTTTTAACACCAACATGCTGAAACCTACCCTCATTAAAAGAAGAGTGGGACCCCATATGGAGTYAAAAAATGTCCAGTAGCTCTTAAAATATTGCAATTTACATTAATAAATAAATGCATATTAATTACAAATTTACATTTAAGGCATTAACCCCCATTATTTGACACACGTACACTGTAAAGGTTAATAAATAAAACAGTTAAATTATAGTAAAATGATGTTCAGTAAGAAATAAGGGAGACAAATTCACTGCTTTTGAGAGTTCAGTCTCTGCTGTGGTCACGTCTTTTTCGTCTCGTTGTGCTACCTGCCGCAGCTACCACAACGCATCTTGTTCTCACACACACAGACACACACACCGGCGGTGTACAGAACCGTACCTGTCGAGCCACTTCACAGTTAGCGGTTGCTAGAAGAGTTCAGTAAGTAGGTCTTTGTTCAGGCCCAGCAGCTGCTTTGCAAATGAGGATTTTATTAGTGYCACCTGTGAGAGATCATTAGCATCACCTCTCCAATTTTCTCTGACTAAAACCTTTTCACTTCACCTTGTTAATTACTTAAAGTTTTGAACTCTTAATTCTGGTGATGAAACATTTAGGCAGATTGGTACCTTCAGAGTGTGGTGTGCCATACATGGGAACAACAAAAACCCTGAGGAGGATGTTTCTGCTCATGACTAATGGCTGACTATTAGAGGTGCACTCATCAGTTTTCAAGGCCAGTTCCATTTATTGATTTTTGTAAAGCTCTGATCATTTCAGTTTGTATTGAAAAACTGTAATTAGAACAACAAGAAATATTTTTTTCTTATATATGATTGAATTGGAAATTTGATATTGTTCCTAATAATGTGTTTAGAATAAAAAAGTTCACTTTTCTCCAAAACAGAACAGTTTTTCCTGCCACTGGAAATTTATAAAAATTGAATATCTGTCTGGATTATAGGACAGAAGTAGTTTTTCTACACAGAAAACCCAACAGAAAAATAAGGGCACTGTTTCTTAAAAAAAAC